AGAAGTTCAAGTATCCCTATTTGCAGATGATACCATTCTATAACGAAACTCTAATAAATTTTTCAAAAAATTCTCAGCTCTAATAAACATTTTCAGCAGAGTACCAGGATGAAAAGTTGTACAACATCACTAGTCATCAGATAAATGCAAATTAAAACTACATTGAGATACTATTTCAACCAAGCCAGACTCGCAGATATTAAGAAAACAAATAGCAACAAATGCTGGTGTGGATGTGGACAAAAGGGAGCCCTTATGCACTGATGAAGTATAATGTAGTCTAGCAACTATGGAGATCAATATGGAGGTTCTTCAAAACCTAAAAGTAAAACTACAATACAGCCCAGCTATTCCACTCCTGGGTATTCATTTGAAGGACTCCAAGTCAATATATCACAGAAGTACTTGTAGATTGATGTTTACTGCACACTATTCACAACGGTTAAGTTGTGGAGCCAACCTAGGTGGCCAAAAACAGAGGCATGGGTAAAGAAAGTGTGGTATACACGTGGAATTTTTTCCACCCAGACAGAGAATGTAGTTATGTCATCTGTAGGAAAATTGAGGCAACTGGCAATGATCATGTTATGTGAATTAAACAGACTCAGAAAGACAAATATCTCATGTTTTATCTCATTTGTGTATCATGAATGTGAATGTGGAAGCAATGCTCTCTAAAGAAACAAAGGGTACTAGCAGGAGAGGAGGGGTGAAAAGCAAGCACGGCAGGATGTACTCAAAGGACATTGCAGAACTGTATGGAAACATCCTGGTGTAACCCAGTACCATGAACCAGAAATAGACACCAATGAAAATTTTAAAATAAAATTGTAAAACCTTTTAAAAAACCCATCAAGCACTGTTCCTACCTTCAGGCTCCTTGCCCTGCAAGACCCTCAGAGCTGATCTCTGCCAGGCTTCTGTGTCACAGCTTAGAAATTATAGTTACTCTAACTGCAACTCTGTCCTTTACATGTGAATGCATGGCTATGTGGTATGGAAAGAAAGAATTCTAGTTTAAGTACAATTTTCCACAGATTATGCCCTTCAGACGTACTGCTGAATAGCCTGTGCATTCACTTTTATAAACATTTTTCAAACGCCATTATTTATCTGCAAATGATTTTGTAGTTGTTACAGGACTTTGAATCTATCTGAGAGTTCACACACGTATGTTTTCTAACAATAATTGTGAACTTTTTCTCCTAATGAATGGCAGTATGTGAAACACAACACAACTATTAATCAACTGTAAAAAAAATTCTTTAAATTCTGAACAGAAAAAATAAAAACAAACAAAATTTCAGATGACAAAATGCTGAGAAACATGAAGAAATATGAAGAAACGTGGGTATCATTTCTTGTCTTTTTGATGTTATAAACTCTATACACTCGCAGAAAATATGGGCTGAGATATATATGTGGTAAATGTTTAAGATTTATGTTTTTCTAAAAAAAACAGAAGTATAATTTATAACTTTTGAGAAATTAAGAAAAACAAATATTATAGATGAAAAGAACGGTAAGAAAAGGGAAAACACTTCAGAAAAAATAAGCCAAGGATAGAAGAGGCCCTTCACTGAGGCATAAACACAATCCAATATACACAGAAGATGCTTGACAATTGGGAAAATACAGAGTAAGAAAAAACATGCAGCATTTTTAAGAGAAAAACTAAGAAGTTTGTTAATATCAAGGCATAACGTTGTAGTAGCTAGAAAGGGATGCAGCAAATTTTTAAGGTACGTGTCATAAGAACTTCCTATGGTGTACTCTAGAAATACATTCACACTTGTACATTTGTACATAGCCTGGAGAGCGCCTGTGGAAATGCAACTGCGGCAACAGAAATGGGAAATAAGCCAAATGGCCATCGATGTGGAACATTTAGTGTAATTAAGACATATTCAACCACAAACACCATGTGACGGACAAGTAAGAAGAATCTAATAGGGCATCGCTACTGATCTGAAAGTACTATAAAAACAGAAAAGAAGGTTTCTGTAGAATGGAGGAAATTGGTTGTTATGACAAAATGTATCAATAACTACTGGGAGAGGGAGAATTGGTTTTCTTTAAGTGTGTGACACTAGATAGGTTAACCAGGCTCCAGTGGATGGATGCACACCAAAAGAAATTTGGGGACACAAACTTGGCTCAATAGGCCTTAATATGTATATATCAGAGTGCATGAAAGCCAGCGGGGTGTAGAAGAGGGGGTGTAGATGGGCAACGGGGTCTAAATATGCTCAAAATACATTGTATGAAACTCACAAAAATTCAATAAAAATTAATACCAAAAATATTACCTGTGCAATTGCAATTAAGTAAAAATATTTCGAATAAAAGTAAAATGAATAAAGAATATAAAACAGTTGCCAAACAAGAAAGTGGTAGGAAAGTAAGTATGAGCATTCACTGACAGTCTCAAAATGTTGCTTTTAAGCATTGTTCACATTGAAATGAATTATGAATGTGACCATTCGGTACCAGTCCACAAATCAAACCTATTCTATCCTGGTGACGGGTTGAAAATCTCACTCCCAAACACACAATTCCTTACGAAAATAGACAAATTGATGAAAAATGAGCATCCTTTCACTTCCTGCACTTCCTCGGGTCACCTCTCCATGGTCAACCACACATAAGGTGGACTCCATGATCAACCACACAGAAGGTGGACTCCATGATCAACCACACAGAAGGTGGACTCCGTGATCAACCACACATAAGGTGGACTCTGTGATCAACCACACTAGAAGGTGGACTCCGTGGTCAAACCACACAGAAGGTGGACTCCGTGATCAACCACACATAAGGTGGACTCCGTGATCAACCACACAGAAGGTGGACTCCATGATCAACCACACAGAAGGTGGACTCCATGGTCAACCACACAGAAGGTGGACTCCATGATCAACCACACTAGAAGGTGGACTCTATGGGCAACCACACATAAGGTGGACTCCGTGATCAACCACACAGAAGGTGGACTCCATGATCAACCACACTAGAAGGTGAACTCTGTGGTCAACCACACAGAAGGTGGACTTCATGGTCAACCACACAGAAGGTAGACTCTATGGGCAACCACGCAGAAGATGGACTCCGTGATCAACCACACAGAAGGTGGACTCCGTGGTCAGCCACACAGAAGGTAGACTCCATGATCAACCACACAGAAGGTGGACTCCATGATCAACCACACAGAAGGTGGACTCCGTGGTCAACCACACAGAAGGTGGACTCCATACTCAACCACACTAGAAGGTGGACTCCATGGTCAACCACACAGAAGGTGGACTCCATGGTCAACCACACAGAAGGTGGACTCCGTGGTCAACCATGCAGAGGTGGACTCCGTGGTCAACCACACAGAAGGTGGACTCCATGGTCAACCACACAGAAGGTAGACTCTATGGGCAACCACGCAGAAGATGGACTCCATGATCAACCACACAGAAGGTGGACTCCATGGTCAACCACACAGAAGGTGGACTCCATGGTCAATCACACAGAAAGTGAGGACGCCTCTGAGATACTGTCAGGACAATGTAGCCAAAAGTGAAAAAAAATTGAAAGAACAGACAAGGGCAAGGGAGACGTTTACTACAACGAGGCAGCTTGAATTAAAGCAGAAGTCGGATGCCCCCTCTTCCTCCTCTTCCCTGGATCAGCACAGCCGCAACAGCTGTGGGGATTTGGGACTAAACCAATGGCCAGGTGACTCAACAGTGAACCTCTTGTCCTTCTAGGCAGCTTCTCTCAGCAGTGCAAATATGTACGAGGACAAAGAACTGTGTCCTCTTAGCAGACGCTAAAAGACACATATTAAGGGCTGTTTGGATGTTTTTTTTAAGTGTTGGCTGGCAAAGAAAGCTAGGAGAAGCTGGCATGAGAACAAAGCCCAGTTCCCCCATGGTGAAACCAGAAAATTCCACTTGTGATGGAAAGATGTGTGTGAAGGCTAAATGCTATCTCCTAAGGTCCTTCAGGATAAGAAACAAGTACTTTTACTCTTATTTATTATTATTATTACTATTATTATTATTATTACCCTCTCATCAAGAGTAAGCAGCAGCTGGCGTGGTGGTGCACGCCTTTAATCCCAGCACTCGAGAGGCAGGCTGATCCTCTGTGAGTTCGAGGCCAGCCTGGCCTACAGGGTGAGTTCCAGGCAGCTGGAAAGCAGCAACAAAATTTTTCTTAAATTAAAATGGACTCTAAGTAGTAGCGTCTGAAAACAAATGGTTAATATGCAGATTCCTATGGACAGGAATCAGGTGTTGGTTGGTTTTCTGCTCTGGCACCAGTGGCCAAGCAAGAGCAAAGGCAGTGGTTTGTGAACTTGCAAAGTGCTTGACTAACTAATTAAAGTGTTAATGAAGGAAAAAAACGCTCCCAGGTAGTAAAATCCTTTTCAGTTCTCTAGATGGGGATGGTGAGGAGCATGGGAGATAACAGCAAAGGAAGGGATCCTGAAGCCAGACACACAGCATGAGCAGAGGTAAGCTCAGACTTAGCCCACTGCATCAAGAGACAAACACATGCAGTGCTAAAGCAAGCTCCGGGACTGTGCGGGTTCAGGCTGTTTGCATCTGCTGCCCACACACTTGCAGCACCCTGATGCCTTTCCCTCTGCATGGCCTGCATACCAGTCAAGGGTCTATGTGTGAAGGGCCATACTCATAACAGATATATTTTGGTTGGGTAGATAGACGAGTGGACAGAAAGACAAATGAACAAAGAAATTAGCGGTATATTGTTTTCCTCTATACTCTTTGAAGTCAGCCATTCAGTATCAATATTCTACTTGCAAAGAATATGCAGTAAACTTGCTCCCAGCTGGTTTCTCCACACTGCACATAAAGGTCTGATTCCCCAGAGACATGCACAGCACACTATATAAAATCTAGGTAGTAGTAATCTTCCCAGACTCACACCAAGGCAATTAGAATAATTAATAGCAACTAGAACTCATTGATTTAAAAATAAATTACCACAATTGGGTATCTGCAGGTTTGCCAGGAGGATGTTCTTGCTGCTTTCGTCTAGGCAGTACAAATCCTGAGTTTCTGGACTGGATTTGGTCTCTTGGAGAGTCTTGATCCACATAATGTCACAGGAGCATGTAAACGGATTGCCCACCAGGATCCTACATGGAACAGAAATGAAACCGATTAGGCTCCTGCTTCAGTTTAGCTGCCCTGGTGTTTGTGAGAGACTTACTGTAGCACTGTAAATTCTTTCTAGCCATCAACCTTTGGAAGCCATATCCACTTTCATAGCATGACAGTACTTATTATTCACTCTCTTATCTAATAATTACTGTGCTGCTCTTACGTGCAAACGGAATTGTAGAGGCTAAAGATAGCTAAGGGATGTTAAACTGTGCAGAGTAAAGTAGGAAAACAAACCTGAACAAAACAGCTATAATAAGAGACAGAAATAAGATTAGAAGAGAGGCGACGTTTTGTACTTATTAAGGACTTAAGTGACCATGTCCACGATACATTTTCAAGAACACTAACTCACTTTCTGACAAGGCTAGAGACTTGTCATTCACAGAGTTCAAATTTCAGTGGGGGTGCAGAATCATTTTCTCTTAGTTTAAAATGAAACTAGAAATAGATATCTCGGGCTGAGGTGTAAGAGCCAGGAGGCTGCATCTCTCACCTTTCTGCCTTACAACCAAAGTCCATTTCATTCATGCAAAAGTGGAGGGAGGCAAGCAGGAAGGAAGGAAGCTACAGTACAGCATGAATGTTTGCACACTCCCCCAGCTCAGGGTTTCTGAAGGTGATGCACCGAGCTCCAGCTGAGCTTCTCAGTCTACCGCAGGGGAGTGTGGAGAGAAAGAAACCACCATCCCGACCTCAGCCATGCTATCTGGACTCCTGAGGACTGCAATGGGTGAACGAGGAAGTGGTCAAGAGGAAAATAAAAACCACGGGGCAAAAAATCTTTAAATGCTTATTTATAATACTCAGTGGCCTATTTAAGATGAATTCCATTTATGATAATGAACCTTTAAATGAGGCCATTTTCAATCGTTACATAGACTCTGCCTGACATTAACCACAATACTTAAGATTTCCTGAGGACAGGACCTGGCTTTGCAACATCGTTTACTCCTGTGGTTTTTCTGATTGCGTTCTAAGACTCTCTGAGATCCCTGGAGACTTTTCTGGGAGTTTCTTGGGGGGAAATGTGGTCATGGTAGACTGGTTTAATTTGTATCTGCTTGATCGTCTCCAAGTATCCCGCCAATACCAAAATAGGATTTGATGCTATGATACATGGGATATGAGACACAAAAGACACCTCAAACTCCAGAACCCCAAGATACTTCCTAGAGTTCCAAAAAGTAATGTGTTTCTAAAATGAGAGTATAATCCAATCAGCAGACTGCATAAAGAACTGAAGGGATGCTTTAATTATAAATACAATGATGTTCATATAACCACACAGCACTGGCAGAGAGCTGCTCCTTCCCCCAGCTCTCTGTGCAACCTCCTTTCACAATGATTGTCACAGCACTTGCTGCTTTGTTTAGGCTTCTATCTCGCCTGCTAGAGAACAGAATCCTCAACACAGGATTTTCTCCTTATATCCCCCATCCTACTCATCCTGATAAGTAACAGGCACACAGTTAACACTACTGAATGAGTTGCTTAAAGATGCTGAGGGAGGCTATTGAGACAAGAATTAGAAATGGAAACTCTAATTTTTAATCTATCCAGAAAATGTTACGCAGTGGTGCTCAACATTTTTACAGCATGCCTTACTCGGTATTGCATACCTTCCTTTAATTTGCCATGTCTATTTTGATGTTAGAAATGCAGAAAGCACAGAAAGACAAATACCATGTGTCCTCATCCACATGTGGATGCTAATTAAGTTGATCTCATAGACATAGGGTGTAGAACAGGTTACCAGAGTCTGGGAGAAATGGGGGGGGAGCGGTGGCTGAGACAGCCTGGCAATTCGATACAAAACTACAGTTAGACAGAAAGAATAAGTTACAGTGTTGTATAACATATTGGGGTGATTATAGTAAACAAGAATTTCTATTTCAAAGTGAATAGAGGAAAGTATATTGAGTGTTACCAACACAAAGAAATAGTGCAAGTTTAAGGGGATGGATAGATCAGTTTTCCTAATTTGGACATTATACATTGTATATTAGTGTCAAATATCAGACTGTATACAATAGATATGCATAACTAGTATCAATAAAAAATAATTTTGAAAGAAACACTAATGTTCCAATTCCCTGAATTTAGTTTATTCCAAATAATTGCCAGTTGCCAAGACCTTCACCATGCAGGTCCCTTCCTACTTGTGAATGTGCTCTCTCTCCATTATGGGTAGCTTCTAGTCTGCCTGCTTTCTCTGAGCATAGGGACAAATTTTCCTAAAAGCACACTTTATGTTTCTTGTCTTGAGCTCCCACCTCTAATGGAGCCCTCCTTCTCCTGGTGTTAATTCAGGGACCATGAGGTCACCCCCAGGCTCCTCTCTGGTCTGTTTGAATGCCAGTGCTGAGTCCCCCCACCGTATATCCCAGAAATCAGACCTGCCTGTCAGGTCTGCTGAGTTTAGAGTATTTCTGGCAGGAAGATTCCCCTTTGGTTGGAGCAAAAGGGTTCCACCAAGCCTGGTGTGAGCTGCTCACAGGCCTCTTTCAATAGAAGTGGTAAGGGGCTCCCCTTTGAGGGGCAGCCATCACTCAGACATGCGCACATGAGCCTGGTCTTAGATGCTCAGCCCCAAAGATGCACTGGTGCACACACTCACAGGCAACCTTCTTACACATCGGCTTTGGAGGCCAAAGCCCCATCTTGGTTCCTTCCCAAGAGGGTTCCAGCCTGGTGCTCAGAGCTCAAGCCACCTCTTGGTCCAGTCACTACCTACAACACAGCAGGGTGAGCACATGAACCACACTCCAGGTGGGAGCCTGGTCCAAGGATCAGGTGCCTGAGAACAGACTGAACAGTGACCCTGGGAGCCCTCCTCCTCTGTGAAGGGTTAGCCTGAGTCCTCTGAGCTGTGAACTTCCCTGAAGTGCCCTTGCACACAGTTTAAACCAATGCCTCCTACTCTTCAAAGCCTGTCTGTCCTTCCAGCTCCATATCACTACAAAGCCTCCACTGTGGGGCTCTCTCAGGCACCTTACCATAGGAGCAGCAGCCGTTCATATTTGCCTCATGGCGATAACACCAAGAACTGAGCACACTTGCAAAGGCTGGCTCTTAGTCATCGGCACATTTTAATGTTTTCCCTATCATTTTACAGCAGAGGAAATTAGTACATAAGGATAAATATTGAACACAGTGTCAGACCTAAAAGAAATGCTCTCAAAGATGGGTGGGTAGGGAGGCAGCCTGTCCTCCAGTGTGAGCTACACCCACGGTTACACTGTGGCTGACAGACAAAGGCTGATTGGGTTTTGTCCACTAGCACTTCCTCCTTGATGAACTTGCTTTATTTCAGGGCCTGGATAAAACAGGAGCCAAAGAGATGCAATGAAAACAAAATCAAGTCGTTTTCATGGAAAACTCCCTGCTTTTACTCTTTTCCCTCTATTAGGACATAAAATAAATTATTTATACAAAACAACATTAAATTTATCGTAATGACATACTCTTGAGGTTGAGATTTACATTTAGTCACCTAATTGGGCCAAAATCTATAGAAACCAGTTTTCAAGAGTTTTGATGAGAACCATAAACTTGCAACAGCATTCATTTTTTTTAAATGCCGAATTTTTTGAAATTTTTCTCCCAAATGCCAGACAAAATCATTACTTACAGCTCAGACAAGTCAAGGTGACGGAAATGTTTCCGAGACAAACTCGTCAGCTTGTTTCGAGTGAAATTGCTGAAAGAAATCAAATACATCAAACACGAATGTTAAAATGCTGCAATTTAAGAACTATGTATTCAAATATTTTGTGTTCACAATGTACTTTCTTTGATCGTGGAGCACAGGTTACTTAGCTCCAGTCCTGTCTTTCACCTGCAGTGATAACACTGTGGTTTTCCTGCTTCTTTTGAGGCTCTTGCTTAACAGGAAAGGGGAGTAGATTTTTCATCCAGTCTATTTTTAAGATCTTTGTTTTACCCAAAAGCTTGTGTTTCATATGTTAATGGAGAATCAAGCTCTATGTTTCATGGATATCTTGACCTTTTGAACCCTTACTAGGAGAATATATAAAATAAAGTTTAAAACTATTAGGTTCACAAGAAGAAAAAAGAGGCTTTAAAACTAAAATGCAGCATGAATAATCTGAGGTTATGTGACACACAAAACTTGGAATAGTAACTGAATCTCAATGTCTTTACAGGAAAGAACACACCTACTGATTGAAAACATCTGATGAGACTGTTTATACATGACCTAGAAAAGTGAATAATCACATGATAAAAACAAGGAAAAAGTCAGGTAACAAGATATATGTCAGAGTCTCCCTTGAACTACCCTAGCAACACCCCATTCACATATCTGAACCAACCAATGCAAAGATGACATATTCATGGAAAAAAGTAATGAATTTCTTGGTGTGTTTTATTGGATGGATGGGCACTGCCAAAGATCTGTGCCATGAGACCTTGGGATGGGAAATGCTCCAGCCATAATCCTGGCAGCTGAATTTATTTACTGTTTAAATTTTACTTAAAGAGTAGAGTGCTTGGGCCCCTAGACATGCATTTAATAAGGAACATAAACAAGCATCATCTTCCACAAAAACAGTGAGACCTCTACCAAGCAGGGGGACACAGGTGTCTGACTAACAGTGGATGAAGTGAAAGATTTGATGGTGACAGTACTCCTGGCCCTGCCCTGTACCTGATGCCAGTCTGTGGTGTCAGTTCAGTGACATCTCAGTGGAAGTGCCCTGGTATGTATGACCAGTCACCTTCAGAGAAGAACTAAAGCCCAGCCAAAACATGTCAGTTGATGAATGAAGAGATGGCATCCCATAATTCAAGAATATGTATGTCCATCCAGTGGCACTCCTTCAGGGAGACATCCACCCACTTGAATCCCCACCAACAGCAGAACAGCCTCCTACCTTTCTTCTGAGCTTGCATCCTCTCCCTTCATACCAGTGCAATGTGCTCAGCCACAGGAAACAGTAACCCACATGAAAATACAGTCTACCAGGAAGTTGTAAGATGTGCCTGCCTACATAAGACTTTCCTTTTGAACAAGAATTAGGAATGGTTTTAATGGAACATGTTACATTGAAAAGTCATCTGTCTGTCTTTGTCACCATCTTTAAGGCTCAAATACTTTTACAGTCATCAGAAATCCCATTCCTGATGAAAAGAAAAAAAAACTATCCTTCTCTTCTCCCCCCAAGATAAATAAAACCAGAGAAAGACAGAGACACAGAGACAGGTAAAGAGACTAAGAGGACAGAGACGGGGGAAAGAGGTAGAGAGACACAGAGGAAGAGAGAGGAGAAAGCGTGCACAGCTTCCTCCTGTATGCTCTGAACTGCCCGCCCTGGGAGCAGCTGCCTCTGTTGAGCTGCCAGCAACACAGTGCAGAGCAGGGTTACGGGCCAAAGAACAAGATGAGTTTTATGAAGCATACTTAGTAATGGGGCCAAAAGCCAAAAGGGAGGAAGAAGGAAGAAAAAAATCAACAATCCTCTTACTGTTTGATTATAGAACTTTGCTAAGGAGCTAATTAGCACCTCTACAAAGTCCCTGGAAAATACAAACACGGGGTTTTCTCACAGTCCCTGGGATTTTAGGGACTGGGCAGAATTAAAGGCACCAAGGCATACATTCACTGACCAAGACTGGAGTGCTGGACAGTCACCATGTGATGCTAATATGGAACGAGGAGTACATAAGCACAGAGACCGTATCTAAAACCCCAAGTGAAGCAGACCAATCAGGTGCATATTTTACTGTTGGGGAAACTCAGAGAGACAATCACTACATCCTAGGGACTGGAGAGAAACAGCTTTTAGCACACGTTTCTTTATAGGTTCCCTTGCACCTCTCACTGTGTTGATAACTGAGCTGAGTGCAATTTGCACTAGGGAAATCCATGGAGAACAAGCTAGTCCCCAGGGTCCTCAGTCTTCAACAGAGGCTGGGACTGAGGTCCAAAAGGCAGATACCAGAACTGACTCCCTCCTCCTTCCCTACCATTCTGCAAGGCAAGCTGCTTGATTTACTTTCATACTTTGGTGAGGAAGACCTCTTTCATCATGTGAATGTTTAAAGCTTACTGGCACCTTCTCACTTCTTCATGACTGCCTGAATGCTTGCCAGCCTTCATTGTGTCGTATACGTGACAATACTACAAAAGTCAATAGAGTGTTTTTAAGTTTATCAATTACTGGCTTCTGGTTGTTGTCATGTAAGGAACCTCTACAGCATGTATAGCTCTCTTTAGTGTCATATCTTTAATACCATGTTGGGCAGCAGAGGCCGATACATGACTTTATATAAGCTGTGCACCGAAGATAGAACATCATTCAAATTATTCTGTCATACATCAACACAAAAATACACAAGGTCTATCAATAAAACCACAATTAGCCAAAGCCCATATTACAATATGAGCACCAGTCGTGTGAGGAAGTAGCCAGCCCAGTGCAGCTACTGAGTTGGCTCTAAGGTCAGCCGTAATGAAAATTCCAAAACTTAACTATTGAGATCATTAATTACATTTAAGTGACTGCACTGGAGCATTTCACCCTTTTTCTTCTAACTTCCCTCTGTTGTACCATCAAGGGTTATACGCGCATCAAATTTGCACAAGCAAAGCTGTCAAGAAGCATTTCAATAGAATGTATGTTAAAAGGTATTCAATTTTATCATGCTTTTGCAGAATATTTTTGAAGAATGTTTTATATCTTAATTGTACAGACTTTGTTTTAAGGTAACTTCATCATCATGTCACATATAAAATATGAACTCATGGTACTGACTTTGTGAAATTAAGATTTTCTATAATAGCCTATCTCCACAGAGGAGCCATGCAACTGTTCTAAAACAATTTCTTTTATAACTGGCAGGGAAATAAAGTAAGGAACTATTCTCCCCTGGGGCTGAGGACAAATGTTATAAGAAGGACTCGTTCTCCAATGCCATAAATGGCACAAATTTTATTTCCTGCACTCTTGTCATAAGAACATGGTGAAGGGTTAGCCACCCAAGCAAGTCATAAGGTGTCCTCTGACCATATTTTTGCTGATTACATGGGAATATAAAGATCATCCTTAGCAAGATAATTGTTTAGGTGAGAACCCTCTAGGTAACTGAAATTGTAAAATTATTAAGCTATCATTGATTGCAAGCAACAAGAAATGATTTGGCAATCAACAAATGTGATAACAACTATTGAAAACTCACAGTATCAGGAGTACTAATTTGAGTTTGGGACAATGGATATTTTTCTTCTGGGAGATCTGTTTAATAAAGAATCTCTCAAGAAGGCCGCACTTACTGAATTAACTGGTGTCATCTAAGAGACTTGTCAGAAAACCATATAATAACTCCTATTTTTCACACTTCCAATTGTCTTCAGTCAACAAAATAGCAACACGACTTGGCGGGGATGGAACGCTTTCTACTGTTAACAGTTATCTGAACGTTCAGCTTATTCCATGATTGACTGTATGTTGAGAAAATGAAGGTTTAAAATGTCCCATTATAGGGAGGAAATACTAGTCATTTTTATTTCCCTAAAAAGTCCAAGGCCAGGTCTGCTTCTTTCAAGCCGACTAGTTTAATGTCTTCCAGGAAGTACATCTTAATTCCAAGGAAAAGAATCAAGAACTCTGTGCAAGGACAAAGTTTTTGCATCACAGTTCTTGCTGTTGGTCTATTGCTCTGTCCAAGATGGAAATGGTCCAGAAATTCATGAAAGGGAATAAACAGGCTGTTCTAAGTACCCCTCTGAAGCCATTCAGAAATCAAACAAAATCAAAGCTAATGTTTCTAACCTATTATCACAGCTATACTAAGTTTGAAAACGGAAGTTTGGAGTTGGCAAAGAAAGAAAACAAACAGAAAGGGAAGGTATTGTGCAAAGTGGGCCCTGAAAGCAAAAGGACTGCCTCCTACTTACATGTGTTGCAGGTTGCTGTTTTTCAAAAATGCTTTATAAGCCACAAATTTTAATCCAGAATCCACAATTGTCCTATGAAAACACAATTGCATTCACGTTAGAACTAACCAGCAATGCCTGCCAGACCACAACAGAGTACAAAAAAAAATCTTTTGAGCTAATGTATGTAAGTCCTGAGTACTCACAAGTTTCTCAGTCCCACGTAAGCTTCAACGTCATCTTCGTTGATGATCTCCAACCTTTTCTGATTGGCGATGAAACTGCAACAAAGCGGAAAAGAAATGTCAGGGACTCCAAATGCAGGCAGTTCTAGAGAACGATGGCTCAGGCCCACACACCTCAGCAAGGTGCCCTCGGAGACCCCTGCATCGCTCCAACTATGTTCTTCAATACAGTGAAGACAACAAAACAAGAATTTGACTGACAAGCTTTCGTGGTCAATGACCGGTTCACCCCGTTTCTTTCTGTCTCATCCCAGCAATGCCTGCCAGACCACAACAGAGTACAAAAAAAAATCTTTTGAGCTAATGTATGTAAGTCCTGAGTACTCACAAGTTTCTCAGTCCCACGTAAGCTTCAACGTCATCTTCGTTGATGATCTCCAACCTTTTCTGATTGGCGATGAAACTGCAACAAAGCGGAAAAGAAATGTCAGGGACTCCAAATGCAGGCAGTTCTAGAGAACGATGGCTCAGGCCCACACACCTCAGCAAGGTGCCCTCGGAGACCCCTGCATCGCTCCAACTATGTTCTTCAATACAGTGAAGACAACAAAACAAGAATTTGACTGACAAGCTTTCGTGGTCAATGACCGGTTCACCCCGTTTCTTTCTGTCTCATCCTTTTTTTTTTTAACATAATGTACTCATTTTCTGAATACATTTAAAAGGGCAGCACTCCTTTCAATGTAGAGGAAAAGAGCAGACTTTACTCTGACACAGAGTCAAGGCCAAGAATACTATAAAGTACACTTGGGTGTTCACTGTGCAACTATTTTTCTCATCTTTTGTCGCTTTTCTGCCTAACAGTTTCAGGTTTCTCCTCCTTTAAGGTATGACCAGTGTACAAAGGGGAAAATCCTTGGGAAGTGCACCTACTACCTCTCAAACGTGTGCCATCCATTATGGTGGAATCCAACCAAGCAGGGAAGTCAAGTCTCTGTGTGCATTCTAGGGGACACAGTCACTTCTTCCTTCTATCTCCTAAAACATGAACTGCTTACCCCTTCCTTCTCCCTCCTCTGTCTTTTCTTGGCCCAGCATCTTCTCTTTTTGCCTTTGTCTGTAAGAATTCCTGTATTTCCTTTGATGAAGCACATCTCACAAACCCCACATGACCCTAACGAATTCTCAGTAGGAAACTGCCTCTGCGCCCCAACCCACCAAAACTTCCAAATATAGGAACTAACTAAAGACTGTGGCCAATGGCAGAGAACTCTATTCCTTTGGTTATTATGATTGTCTGAGAGATGTGCAAGTGACCTTAGGTAGACCAGTGAGAATCTTCCTTAAGTTTTAACAAATTAATCCTCAAAGAGAGAGGGTTTTCTCATTCTCTGGAATCATGGCTAAAGAACGGCACAAGCCTCCCAAGGGGCAAATTTTCTGCCACAAAAAGAGACAAGCTAAGAATGAACTCAGAAGAAGGAAAGAGAAATGAAGAGACTCATAAAAAGGAACAATGTTCTGAAAATACTATGTGGGCCATTGGATCCATCCATCTCTGATGCCAGATATTACTAACCTCAGTTTGATTTGGATTTCTGTCATGTAAAATCAATAAAATCTCCAATGGAACAAACATATAACTATATCCTGGATTTTTTTTGTACTGTGCCTTTTACAATAGCTGCTCAAGTACCCAACTATTCATTTACCTTAGTGCACAATCTCTTTGAAGAGAAAACTGTTTTTGTTATTATTACTATGCACCACAGCACGTAGACCAGTCCCTTCAACAAGGTAGGTAGATAGGTAGGTACACAGAGGATGGATGAATGGGTGGGTGGATGGATGGACAAACAGATGGGCAGATAGGTGGATGAATGGATGGATAAAGAGGCAACACTTGGAGTTACAAAAGTACTACAGGAATTCATGCTAGGATAAATTTCCCTTTTTTCTGAAAAACATTTTTTAAGTTGAATGCAAGAGATCCCAATGCCTAGTAAGACTGTTTTCCTAAAGACTAGCTAAATTTAAATATGCATAACATACTTTTAATTAATGCTCTAAAAAACAAATATATAACTCTTTTGCTAACAATGAGTTGAACTGGAAACAAACATCCTAGCCAATGACAGAGAACACATGGCATCTCTACACAGGAGGAAAAAGAAAATGACAGAGGCATGGTAAGAATTTGGGCACAGTAGGGCTGAAGAGATGGGTCAGCAAGTAAAGAGTCTGCTGTGCAGCCATGAAGAACCGAACTGAAATCCCCAGAACCCACACAAGAAGTTGAGAGTAGTCGTATGAGCCAGCAGCCCCAACTTTAGAGGCAGGGCAGTAAGCCAGTCCTCACAGGCCCCCAGTGTGGCTGAAACGGCAGGCTCTGGGTTTAGTGAGAGATTGTCTGGAAAGATAAGATGGCGAGCGATACAGAAAGACAGTCAAAGCTGACCTCCACACATGCATGCACAGGCAAGCGCACCCTCCCGGACATGTGCAGATCAGCCACACATACGTGCACACACGCTCACACAACTCATAAGAAAAGGAAAAGGAAAATAAAATTTTAGCACATTAAAAATAAAATCATATAATGGTGCATAAACTACACCAAAAAGAAATTATTTTAAAAGGATCCACACAAATATTACATCAAGAATCAGCTGCCAAAATAGATGAGCACTCACCTCTCACTCTTGGATCTCCCCTATCCAGAGCTAGACACTCCACAAATGTCCAAGGAAGTGAGTAACATGGGTTAGTAACAGGGCAGTCTTTCCTCCTACCAGGCATAGGAGAAGGAGATGCCTCAAGGCTTGAACCGAATGCTCTGTCTCTAACACCAAGACTTTACGAAACATTTCAAAACCACCACAGTTTAGAGACATGCTTCCAGGAATTTCACAGCACTAGCATTTTCACTAAGACCACAGAGAGCTTCTTTCTTCTGCATGATCTCACAAGAACTGCATTCCAGAGAGTTGTAAATTTTAGCACTTTCTTTATGTCACTTGCAGCAGAACAGGGTAAACTATGTGAAGGAGGTTTATTTGGATTCACCATTAGGACTTCAGATAAGCCCACACTCCCAGCACAGCTGAGTTAGTATGGCACCCGTCATCATCCTGAAATCCTCTGGTTAAGTTCTGCGCTCCGCTCTATGAGAATCATCACTACATTTTCCCTGATAAGACAACGTGCTCGAGAGCTGGTGGGAACTAAGCAACATCTATGGCACAAAGCATCTATCTTTACTGTGGCCTTTCTTTCAGTTACTTATGCCAGTTCTTTTACTTTCATTTCATCTTAACCAGATACTTGGATTATACATGTCCCAGTTATGGTAAATAACATACAATGAACTAGCACACAGACAAAAGAAAAGCAAGAATAGAGACATCAGTAAGGTCAAAAATGATGACTGAAAATGCACAGACTTGTTAAAAAGGTCAAATTTTCATTTTAAGTTCTTTGATCACGAATACCCAAGAAAACAAAAGGATAAATTTGGCAAGTGGAAAACTGTGGGAGACAGACTAGAGTCCAGGGTGATATTGCAACTGTCAGGGTCCAGGAATCCTGGCTCTGTAATCTGAAACCCACTATGCTAATGAGGCATCCTACCTCTATTCTGTGATAGGATGTTCTGTTATGCTAATAGGATGATGCTAATAAGGTATCCTACTTGCTGTACTGTGATAGGACACTAAACCTGTTATGCTAATGAGGTATCCTACTTGCTGTGCTGTGATTGGACCACTACCCCTATATAAGCTTGTGCCGTTCTGCAATAAAGCAAACCTGTGTCACTGAACCTGGTCTCCTGTGTCTGAATGCAGCTCTGCTGACACAGTCTCCTCACCAGCCCTGGGGTCCAGGACCGGGCAGAAGCAGTGATGACAGGAGGCAGCACAGGGCAAGCAGAAGAGCTGCCTCAGCACAGGGCGAGCAGAAGAGCGACCTCAGCCCAGGGCATGCAGAAGAGTGACCTCAGGCCAGAGCGAGTGGAGGGGCAGCCTCGACGCCCATGAGAACGGAGGAGCGGCCGCCACCACTGGTGGTGACTGCAGAAAATATATAATATTCATGAGAATATAAGCAGTATTGAGCACAATAAAGTACAAGTATTTTTGGATCTGAGACCAGAAAGGGGATATTGCTGGAAATAATGCAAAGATCATATGAGATGATACAAATGGTCAGAGAGAACACTCCCAGGGTGAAGAAAGAAATGCTTGGGTACATGTTTCTCCTGGTCAAAGTGGAAAGCCCAAGACTGAGTTCTTTAGCCCCAGCTGGCCTGGAACTCACTATGTAGACCAGGCTGGCCTCCATCTCACAGAGATCTGCCTGCCTCTGCCTCCGGAATTCTACATTAAAGGTGTGCACCATCATGACTGGCCTAAGACTGAGTTCTATCTCCTGAGTCAGCAAGCTTCCCCCAGCAGCTGATCCAAGGTTGCCCCTTGTAGTTACCCTAAATAGAGATGTCTACAACCTTGCTCTTGTGAATTCTATTCCCTAAGAAATTCTGCTTAGCTAACGTGGGGTAAGGAATCACAAGTTAGAAGGGAACTCAGTGAAGCTAAAAGACAATCTGAGGAAAATCTGAGTGGCTAGGAGCCTGGTGGAAAGCTGCTCATCCCGTAAGGAATCAGAATCACAAACAACTGTGGCATACCACTCTTCCCCCACTAAATCAGTAAGATGTTTCACAGCTGATAGTATAACTCATTTCTAATGGTATGGGGAATACTCTTACCATTGGGAGGAGTATGACATGGATTAGCCTCTTTGCAGAGCACTTTGTCAGCACCTGCAGCACTATAATTGCACCCTTAGAGGTCTAGTGGTTCTACTTTATGTATGCACACAAGAGAAATTCTCACATGTAAGCACGAGAGAATAAATGCAAACACATTAATGTGAGTGTGCTATTGCGCACCTGTGACTCCAGTACTCCTGAGGGGAAGGCAGGTGGATTTCTAGTTCAAGACCAGCCTGGACCAAATAGGGAGACCCTATCCAAGAAAGAGGAGGGAAGTGGGAAGAGGAGGAGTTTTAAGACCTACAGAATATTACAGTGTTCATTGTAATAAAGTAAAAAAGAAAAAAAGAAACAATCCAAAATATCCATTCATAAAGATGGCAGAAACTTTTAAAAAAAGTAAAATACATTAAATACATAATTTAATGGATCAAATCTGTATATATGGGAAGAAAGTTCTCCCTGAAAAGTTTAATAGAAAGATTACATATAGAT